AGATATTCACAATAATATCTGTCTGAGGTAAGAATTTTAGGATCATGAACAATATCTGCTTGGTGACTCATTGTTTCTCCCAGTAATTGGGAATAGCAGGGAATGTTTGATGAGAATCAGGTACATCTATTAGTACAGCAGTAAAACACTCAGCAATATTAAATAAGATAAGACAAGTGTGTCCTGATGTATGTTGTTTGGTTGTTTGAACCATTAACTTGGAAAGAGCTATTACTATTAGAGTAAGGAGGCTGACCCTAAAAAAGTAAATCTCTAAGACTTCTTGAAATGTAAAGGGACAATTTAATGAAATCCCTGAAACTTTTTTGTATGTCTATCATCTGGGTGTTAAACAAATGTTTGAGAATGTCTAAATAGACTTTCAAAGTGAAGGTGTTAGTTCATACAGGAAGCATCCTTTGTTTGAGCTACATCCTAATTTACAAAATGCATTAATGCCATGCATTGGCAATTATGGAAGAAATTCCAGATTTCCACACCCAGATAATTAACATGTTTTACAACAATTGAAAAACTAGTTCCTAAATGAAATGCAAGGCAGCCTTACCAAGTTTTATGCTTGCATGTCTTCAGCCAATTCTCCATTGGAAATTGTTGAATATATACCAAGTTTCTTTACCTGATTTAATAGTGGTCAAGGTTTTGTATGCATTGTTTTACTGGGAACAAAACAATTTTTTAATACATTTCCTTCGTTTTTTAAATAATACATTCATAACAGTTACTGAAAGCCACTAAAATAATGCCAAACATTTCATAAATTATTGTCTATAACGATGCTGCAGCAATACTGCAATAGTTATTGATTCTACATGACAGTTGTAATTCTAAACAACAAATAATAGTTGCAACATTGTTATTGTGTTAACCATGATATCCAAACCTGATTTGTACTACTGACAGACTACCCAATCTCAGTTTGCACTCATGAGACTAAGCCAAGAGCAAGCAGTTCTCAGCAGAAGAGTCATTTATGTCAAGAACCATCAAATGGGGTAGGGCCTTCAAGGACATAAAGCAAAGAACCAAGAATTCACTGAAACCTGGAATGTGAAGAAATAAAAAGTAAGCAGGCATAAAAAGGGAGCTGCTCTATCTTATGTAAAGTGGCTTCAGTCTAAGTTATAATAAATATTCTTATCTAACTGCAATGTCTGAGAGATTTCTGCTAGGTTCAAGCACAGTTAAGGCATTACAGTTGTGGGGACTGGGTGAGATTTCCACCTAGTTTGAAGAGCCTAGCAGTACCCTTTATTTACCTAATTTTTATAACATATGTCATTAGCAGCATGAGAAATATTAATTTATGGTTAACTTACCTTATAGGACTTTGTCTATAAACTGAAAAATCATGTCTCAGGCTCTTATTTCATCTTCATCTTTCTCAACCAAGCAGTGTCTGATTCAGATCAGACTACTGCTCAAAACAGTAAACCACTACAAAGTGGTATAGCTAGTCACATGTGCAATCAATAAATTATGGCTTTTATGGTTTGCTATATCACTTAATGAAATACTCAGGCAGTACTTGCATCTTGAATTGCTAACCTTCCAGCAGACAAGCCCAGTGTCTTAACCACTTGGCCATTGCACTCCTAGCATCATCCTATTCTTATGCTAATAAGAGTTATTAATTTTATGGCTTCCTATCTTACACATAATTATATATAATTATCCTGGGTGGCTCACAACAACATGCAATAAAACCCAAAAAATAATCCACAAAACCCTTACTCCAAAACATAATTATGGTACACAATGAGGACAGGCTTATATCACCTGATTGATGACTCTGAATCTAGAAAACTCTCATAGTTACCAGTAGAAAAATCAGTGCAATCCCAATTCAATTTCGGTATTTGTAATGCTGAATCTAACATATTTTTTTTCACATCAAACGTTTTTGTGTATACATGACTTGCTATTTATTTTTATCTTCTGGCATTTCAGATTATTGATTAGAAATCATACTACTTTTAAATTATAAAGTATCACTGTATTCTTATTGATTATATTTAGAGTTTTATGAACATCTTTCATTGAAACTAGTCCTCGACTCATGACTATAGTGGAAACCATCAAATACAATTGAAAGTCATGATATCTGTGAAGTGAAGCACTGTAACTGCCTCACTTATGTACCTCTATCCCTGCTCTTTCCAATGTGGTCATTAAACAAACTCATGGATTGTTAAGTGGATCACAGGGCCCAACACTCTCTTCCCCATCTGCACAACCATTTATCTTTCAAAGATCTTTGGAGCTCAGGTTAGGGATGCTGTGATGACCTGGGGCATGGCACAAAGGCTATACAATCACATAAGTAAGAAAATACCACCAAATTTGCCACCAATGTCCAGTTACCTTTGGCTGGAGAAAAAACCCTCCCAAAAACAGTCTTAAAGTGGAGGAAATTCAGTCCAAAAACAAAGTACATATAAACTGTAAATAAAAATCCACCCACAAATCACACCACAGCAATTAACTGGACCGGGCAGATTAAGGAATTGCAGACTTCAAAGGCCAACAAAACACACACAGTTGGGAAGACGCCAGGAACACAGACAAGCCTGAACAATAAAAGATAACTCATGATTTGCTTCCAGCAGGTTGCTGTGTGCAATCTCCTTTTTAAACACTGTGTTCCCAGCTGCAGCTAATGAAGGAAATCAGGACCTTAAGCCATGCAACTCACATTGCTCCCTTATCTGTTTCTTCCCGCGTACTCTAGGATGAAGAGGGGGGTGGGCCTGGATCTTCCTCTGAATTCCCCCTGCCTTGGTCTACCTCACCCCTGCTCTGCCCAGCTGGACTTTGCCCTTCCCCAGTTTTTTCCATAGCCACCGGAGCTACACTCCTACTCCCTGTCAGCTGCTCGGCCTCCACCTCGAAATCAGATTCTGACAGGGGCTTGACACATGCCTTTTTGTTTCTGAGCTGCATGGTGCAATCAAGGAAGAAGCCACTATTTTCTGGATAGCTGCATTGAATTGTGGACGCGCTGAAAATGGCAGCCTCTTCTAAGATCATGTCAGAAGGCTCCGGAATGGAGTGGCTTGTTCTGTTTTCTTAACATGAGTTCCAGACAATCACAGATCACTGTGGAGCCTTCTGGAGCTTGTATTAGGGAAGCAGAGCATTGCTCTGTCTGTGTTCCTGGGCTGCATGACACTATCCTAGAAGCAGCTGCCATTTTCTGGTGGCCACTTCCAGGATCACATCACATGGACCAGGAATGGAACATCGTACCTCCCCTTCCCTAATACAAGCCCCAGAGATCTTTGAAAGATAAAGAGGTGTGGGGCCTGGTGGAATGGGAAGAAGGCCCAAGCCTTATGAAGTCCCATGAGGGGAATGGGGGAAGACAGACAGGGAGGTGCTGCAGCATACCAGCAGTCTGTCATAAAGGCAAACAACCACAGGAGTACTGTAGCAGCCATAACTGGTCATAAGTAGTTTTTGAGGAGCCGGTCATAACTTATTATGATGCTAAGGACCTGTTAAAAAATTACAATAAACAAAATACAACAACAAACAACAACAATAATAATCCATCACTATTCATTTAAGGAAATAATTTACCTGCCATCTGAGCTTGAAATATCTGAAGCCAAGCGGTATAAACTAATCCATGTCCAAAACAATGTGAAACCATTTGAAATTGTCAGGTCAGCAGATAACATCTGCTAATTCCACATTACATCTTCTAAAAGCCAGGCAGCACACAAGATGCTGTTGATTTGTAGAACCTGGTCTCATCCTTGGTGTCTATACATATAGTGTATATGACATGAATTCTTTATCTCAAGTTGTAGTTTCCTTGAAATCTGGCAGCAACTTATACAATATGAAATTACCCATCTATTTCTTCATTGAAAATTGTATGAGTCTAATGTCTATAACTCTTTTCCTGTAAATTACACTAAATTTTTAAATATAGTTTTGTTTTAAAGCAATTTTAATTGATGAAAGATGCTTTCATAAAAAATGATTTTTTTAAATGAAAGATGCTTTCATAAAAAAGCACTATAAAATTATTTTGATCAAACTAATTAAAGCATACACAGCTTTTATGTATAGTTATTCATTTAGCATGAGATCAAGTGTGAAGTAATCCTCCAACATTACTGGGAAAAATCTTTGAATTCTCTTCAAGAGGTGCTTTTATGCAGGAGCAGATGTATCTATTAGCAAGTGTTTATAAAACGTCTCTGTCTATTGTGGCTGAGGATATTCAGGATATTAAGTATTATTAGTGCTTTGTGTGTTCTGTGGCTGATGCAGACAAGACCTGCTAATCGTTATGTCCTCATACAGCAATTGTAGCTTATTTATTAATAAATGAGATCACCAGTCACAACCCCTAGTCAATTCCATCGAAAATTACAGGCGTTGAGGTCCAAAACAACCCAATCTAGTTGGGTAAGGCTGAGGCTTAGGAAATCGTACATCTTCTCCACTGGAGAAAGGACATTGAAACTCCGCCCCGAAAATCCTTCTCCAAATAAGCAACTACGGTGTGACCGTCTGCTTTATGCTGCAGGGCGGGACCCTGAAGCGTATTTATAGTAATGATGATAAACTAAAAGCATTCGCGGTATACGAGCTCAGCCCGCAACAACGTCAGAATCCATCAAGCACGCCTACATTCCAGCAGCTCCAACCACCCGCCAAACTCCAAACCGACAGCGACAGAAGACCGAATGTTTTCGTGAATATGAGGGGGGGGCGGGGCGGGGAAGGGGAGGACGGACGCAGGCGCGTTTTTCTGCTTCATGGTTTCTCCCGCCCTCTTCAACGAAGCTTTTCGTAAGGTGGAATTCAACCGTTGGGTAGCCGCGTGCACCTGTTTTTTATTCGTTTCTGCTGGGCGCGAGCTAGTTATGGGTGACGTGTCCTTAACCGCAACCAATCGGAGCGAGGAATGAAAAAACACATTAAAGTGCCCCGCCTCTGCCTTTCCCCCTCCTCCCCGACTGGGGCGGAGCGGTTCCTTTCAGGCAGGCGCTGGCTGGGCAGTGATGGCGGACGATGGGATTGGAAAGCTAAGGACGAAACAAGGCGACGGCGGCGCTCCGCCGGAGACGGCGGCTACTGCCTCGTCCGGAAGTTGGCTGTGGGGAAGCTGGTTCGACATGCTATTTATCTTGACGCTGGTGATCGTGACGCTTTTGGCCTATCAGGTCTACAAGCGCTGGGGCAAAAGGATCGGAGCGGGGGGCGCGGCGCAACAAAGTCAGGCCCACTCCTTGCCCCGCATGAAGCGGCGGGACTTCACTCTGGAGCAGCTGCGCGAGTACGACGGCGCGCGGTTGCCGCGCATCCTTCTGGCCGTCAACGGCAAAGTCTTCGATGTAACCAAAGGCAGCAAGTTCTACGGGCCCGGTGAGGGGAGAAAAGAGGGTTGTCGCTTTTCTCCCTGACTCAACGCAGTTTGGGGGCGTAAGGTGTCTTGAGTAATGCTGTGTTAGAAAGGCCTTTGGGAGAGAAGGTTGGACGGTTTTTTCCAACTAGTTGACACATTAGTCTGTGGTTAACTGAACCAGGGTTACATTGTTTGGGTTGCTTAATTCATTACTAATTTCAGGCTGACGTCTTGTGTGAGACCAATAGCAGATACTTATTAGATAAAAGAAGCATCTTTTATTGGATAAAAGAGGTACCGACATTCTTTTAGCCTTCGGTGTGAGTAGATGGAAAGACGTTCTTTCAGACAGAATCTGGTCAAAGTTCTGGGTAGTGTCATTAATTTAAGGCTGCCTTGTCATCTTAATTGAAGATATTTCAACAGCTGGAATTGAATATGGCCATAGTCCAGTTTATTAGATTATGTTGAATATGAGTAGGCAGTTTTGATCTTACCGGGTTTTTTTAATGTTCCATAGTTAACTTGGAAAAATTGCTTGCTTTCAATTAAAATGAACAATGTATTTTTAAGATAGTATGGAATTGTCGTAATATTTGTGTGAGACTTCTTCAATGAACTTAATAGTTGAAATCTATTTTACTGTGAATGAACAATACAGAATTGTAATAAAAATAGAAGACATCTGTAAAGAAGTATGCAGTGTATAGTAAAACATGGCATAAGTAAAGCCATTTCTAATTAAGGTAAGTGTTGAAGTAAGGGAAATAAGCAGGCTCCACTAATTCTATTATTTTTAAATACTTACAATCATACAGAACTTATGTTATTTTAAAAATTATATATTTATATAGCATGCAGAGAGGCACCATTGAAATTTCTGTATTGTTAAATAATGGGAAAACGTGGCTGCTACATTAAAAAACTTTGTGAACAATTTTTTGAATGCTGTTTAAAAATTGGCTGCTTCTATTTACTTAAATTGTAGATAAAGTCCAAAGGCCAGCAAAGTAGTTGAGATATCAGTTTAACCTATCAGCATTCTTTTAAATATATTTCATACAGCTTATGTGTAAGTTGTACTGCAGGATTCAGGTAGCTAACACGGACCATTACATCTTGCTAATCTAGATATTTGAGTTAATTTAGGAAGACATAATAGTTTGTAGCAAATTAATGTATCAAGGTGAATGTTTACACAACCACAAAAATTAGTTTATCAGTATTGTAAATATTGAGTATATAACTACTTTTACAACTGAAAACAATCTAAATAATTTATGAAATTTCTATAGCAATCCTTACACTTAAAACAATTATTCAAAAGTATAAACATTACATTTTGTATTATCATTAGACCCTTGCTATATAACATATTGGGCAGCAAGGAATCTCCTGCATTTTTGGTCTTGGGCAATTACTTCAGTGTCTTCATATGTGATGTGTAGAGTCTTTAAATCTTCCATGAATGTTCTTTACCATGTATTTAGAGAGAATTCAAAATAGCCACAAGCATATTGTCTATCTTAAAAGCTTTTTCAAAATAAAATATTTCTAGTTTTTTGGGAATATAAACAGAGCTGCAAAGATTCTGGCTGGGAGAGATGGTTCTGCAAATACATAGGTGACAAGCTATATAAGGCTTTAAAGGTTAAAACCAGCACTTTGAATTAGATTTGAAAGTCTACTGGCAATCAGCGTAGTGACCTCAACGTAATGGCTGCTCCTGAATCATCTTCAAGAGCAGTGCCATGAAAAAGGCAATATACTAGCCTAGAAGTGATGAGGATGTGAATCACTATTTCAAGGGATCCATATTAGAAAAAGTTCCACACATCTAGCACATCAGCTGGAAAAATCGGTCTTGGCCATAGCTTCCAACTGTTTAAGCAGTACCCACAATTCCAGGACTCCCAAGATGTAGTCCTGCTCTTTTAGAGAGAATGCAGCAATCTTAGAGCCAAAATAGTGATTGAGTAAAATAGATTGATTACATAGAGATAATTCTATCCTGTATGAAGACATCTGATCTTGTTTTGGCCATCTAAATTCTTAGTTTCCAAACACCAAGTTAGAATTGCTGCAACATATCAGGCTCAGTTGGGGTTGCAATGTGTAGTAATCATCAATATATTGATAGTGTGTCATGCTCCCTGCAGTTTTGTGTAGTTAGTGGAAAGCATGGGAAAGAACGCTAAGTCCTGTGACATCTTTGTGACATCCCTCAGTGGAGGAGCCACTCTTCTTCCAGGCATTTGGAACAATCCAGGTAGGAGAAACACTATAAATAGTGCTCATTCCTCATAGAATGTCTAGCAGGATACCATGTTGCAGAGAGATCCAATAGGTTCAGGAGTGCACTCTCCCATCCAACTCCTAGTAGAGGTTATCAACCAGGACAGCCAATGTTGTTCCTGTCCCATGCTTGCATTGAACTTTGAACAGAAAGGGTCTATATACTATATTTCCTGTAGGATCTTCTGAAGTTGAATTCTCACCACCTTTAAAATTTTCTCTGAGGAGGAAATTGCATAAAGTTATCCAGTATATTTTATTAAATGTATATGTTAACTTGTTAGGCAACTACAGATGGCTATAGGTTTGAAAACTTCAGTACAGGAAAATAAAGGTGAAACAAAATGTAAAATATATAGTGTTGGGAGCCAAATGCCTCCTATAATTCCAATAAAGTTATGTAAGTCCCTGGCCTAACACCCGAGGGAAGAACCAGGATATAGGACTTTCTTAAAGCCTGCCAAATTTGGAGATGGGTGCTGTGAAATAGAAGGCACATCTGGGTTCCAATAGGTACCAATATTTAGTAGATGGATTAGGTTGAAAACAGTCCCTTCAAGAGGAGTTGTCTACTGCCTCTTTCAAGATTGGCTACACCTTTCTTGATTCAAAGTTATTTATCTCCCAAATCCAACTTCATTTTTCCAGCCACTTGAAAAAGCCAAGTCGGCATGGATTTAATGAACAGTTTAATAGCTGCATAAATCAGATTTGTTCAGAAACAATATGTGGTAATTATCAATAGCTCGTTAAGAAAAGACATGAGTTCTGGGCTGTGAATTCTGTTAAAAATAACATATGTCGTGCTTCAGAATGTACTGCAGAAGGCACTTTATAATGTACCATAAACTGAGTGTCTTTATTGACTGCCCCAGACAACAACCAAAATTTGCAACTGACATTGGTGAAAAAGTAACTTTTTAACAAATGCATTTATGATCTTTGCAGTGTCCCTCTCTGTAACATGTACACTATTACTATCAGTATGCATTGTCTTGAGTCTGATTTTTTTTTTCTCCTCACAGAGCAGAGATTACTTAAACAAGGTTTCTCTTCTTCAGCTACTTTTTTGGCAGTGTACTGTATCCCTAAAATGTCAACTCAAGTTAATAAATTCGTCTCTGTGATCTTAATTAGTAGGTTAGAACCCTGGACTGACAATTGCTGCATGTAACTGACTAGACCATAATCAGTTTCAGATTGAAAGCTTCGTTTTGCTTCCTAAGTTAGTGCTAGGCAAACTGCTGGTTTTAGTGCATTTATATCAATGTCTGTTCCCATTGTGTGTTTGCTTACTGTTGCAATTCCTTCCTCTCCAATCAATGTATATACAAACATTCTCATGTTAATAATCTCACTGCTAGAGTGAACATTTTAAAGGGCCAGGGAATGGGGGAAAGGGCTATAAGATTTGCCCTTTTACCTGGCTTCCTTGTGACAAAGTTCCAGAAGCTTTCCCTGTTGCTTGGGCTAACCCTGCTGTTTGGGATCATGTCCTTCTGACATTGTAAAGCAAAGGAAATGAAATCCTAAACACAGTTCATTTAATGACTACATTGCTGGTCTCAATTTTGGTTAAATGAAGATTACCTATACCTATTCAAGGCTGTCATATATCATTGATGGGAAACTACCTGTAAGGTATTCTGTGGGCTTCAAACAAAACTACCATGTCAAAATATAAGTACATCTATGATCCTTCTTTGGATATGGCATGCATTTAACAATATGCTTTTTGATCTGAGACTGAAATAAATGTTAGAAATGTATATTCTAAACTACTAAAACCAAGTGCAAAATAACATTGGCAAGCACAATGTCATTCATCCCATATTGGACATGGAATGTCTAGATGGGTACAGTTTCCAGTTCTATTGTTTTCAGCTATATAGTGGTACCTTGGTACTTGACTGTTTTAAAACACGTTGAATTTTGCATTTCGATGCAGAAATGTTCCAGTACTCGTTTGTTTGGTACTCAACCTGCTGTGATAGGGAAAGGGGGACAGCCACAAAGAAAAGACATGAAGTTGGTCACACTGGAAAGGTTGATGAAAAGGAAAAGGGGGATATGTCCGCAGAGAGAAGACAGGAAATTGGCCATGCTGGGAAGGTCACTGACATAGTAAAAGAGGCAGAAAGGAAGTCCTTCCCAGTGGAACAAAGGGTCATGGAAGTTATGTGGTTTGTTTGGTACTTGTAGCACCTCCCAGAACCAATTAACGACAAGTACCGAGGTACCACTGTATTCACATTCATACCTTGGGCTCCTAGTGAATTCCTAGGGACTGAAAAATATTTAGGTATGGCTGGATTGGAACTCTTCCTGATCTAACAAAACTACATAACCCATTCTTTCAGAGATACTTCCTAAACAGAAAAACCAAATGATTAAGGACTGGCAAAAAAGCAGTGGGAGCAGGAGTGACTGATGATTTCCTGCCGGCTTCCCCAATGATTTTGTTGGAAGCTGGCAGAATGCATCAGAAATCACAATCGTGACTACAACTTTTTGAAAACAACTGATATGTAGGTCCTTGAAATACCAGCTACATGGTGTAATGTGTCTTGGTTTTTATATACATTCTTATAAATTAATGGATTTGAGGTACCTTGGTTCAAAAATGTTTTTCTATAAATGTATTGTTTGGGCTAATTGAAGGAGACAAACAGGAGAAATTTAGTCATATAATAGATAGGACAAGAAAAGTTATTAAATGGGAAAA